AATTTTGTGGTGACGTCATAAATTTTTTAGGGGGGACGACCAAATACGTTTTGATCAAAAATTTACCATGCTTATGATAATTTTAAAATATCTTCAAGATTTCGAAGCATTCGGTTTTGTAGTTCCTGAGTGAATCAGTAAAATAAATTTACGTTTTCATTTATTTTCTTGAATCACCCTGTATATGCAAATCCAAAAAATATGAATGGAGTGATAGATCACAAGTACAGACTGATCATATTTTGTACATTTTAGATATGATTTATTCGGCAAATTTTCGAGCTGACGTCATCAAGTTTTTGGAGGGGATAAGCAAATATATTTTGACTAAACATTTATTATGCTCTTTATGACCTTAACACATCTGCAAGATTTCAGAGCATTCGGTTTTGTAGTTCCTGATTAAATCAATAAAATATATTTACGCATTCATTAATTTTTTTGAGTCACCCTGTATACGCAAATCCAAAAAATATGAATGGAGTGATAAATTACAAGTACAGACTCATCATATTTTTACAGTTTAGATAGGATTTATTCGGCAAACTTTCGAGCTGACGTCATCAATTTTTTGGAGGGGATAAGCAAATATATTTTGACTAAACATTTATTATGCTCTTTATGACCTTAACACATCTGCAAGATTTCAGAGCATTCGGTTTTGTAGTTCCTGATTAAATCAATAAAATATATTTACGCATTCATTAATTTTTTTGAGTCACCCTGTATATGCAAATCCAAAAAATATGAATGGAGTGATAAATTACAAGTACAGACTCATCATATTTTTACAGTTTAGATAGGATTTATTCGGCAAACTTTCGAGCTGACGTCATCAATTTTTTGGAGGGGATAAGCAAATATATTTTGACTAAACATTTATTATGCTCTTTATGACCTTAACACATCTGCAAGATTTCAGAGCATTCGGTTTTGTAGTTCCTGATTAAATCAATAAAATATATTTACGCATTCATTAATTTTTTTGAGTCACCCTGTATATGCAAATCCAAAAAATATGAATGGAGTGATAAATTACAAGTACAGGCTCATCATATTTTGTACATTTTAGATATGATTTATTCGGCAAACTTTCGAGCTGACGTCATCAAGTTTTTGGAGGGGATAAGCAAATATATTTTGACTAAACATTTATTATGCTCTTTATGACCTTAACACATCTGCAAGATTTCAGAGCATTCGGTTTTGTAGTTCCTGATTAAATCAATAAAATATATTTACGCATTCATTAATTTTTTTGAGTCACCCTGTATATGCAAATCCAAAAAATATGAATGGAGTGATAGATCACAAGTACAGACTCATCATATTTTGTACATTTTAGATATGATTTATTCCACAAACTTTTGAGCTGACGTCATCAAGTTTTTGGAGGGGATAAGCAAATATTTTTTGACTAAAGATTTATGATGCTCTTTATAGCCTTAAAACATCTGCAACATTTCAAAGCATTCTGGTTAGCAGATTAAAAATTAAATTTCAAAATGTTGTTTTATAATTTTGATTTTTTTTCCAAAAATCTGGACGTTTCGGGTGAAAAGTCGATTCAGGGTTGTAAACTACATGTGTAGGACTATGTTATTTTATACAATTGAAAACCCATTTACTATGTACAATTTTGAAGTGACGTCATCGCATTAGTGGTGGGGATGATTAGACAAATTTTGGTTAGCGTTTTACCATCTACATGATATTCTTAATATAAGTACAAAATTTCACAACAATCGGTCGAGTACTTTCGGAGATTATCTGTCTAATAAAAATCCGGGACGGCAGACGGACAGACAGACGGACGGACAGACAGACGGAAATGGGAGACCTATGTCTTCGTCTTCTAGGGGTCATGAAAGATCGAGAAAACGTAAAAGTAGAGAGTCGGCCGACGGACTCGATTACAATACTTCCTTTGCTTACGCTCGGGAAGTAAAAAATGATAAAAGAGGCTGTTGTTGTAAACAATTCCGTTAACTCTTACAGACGTCTCTCAAATTCTCACTCTGTTTCTGTTATTTTGTTAAATTAAATTTAATTCTGCGTTTATTTGTCTCCTTCTAGTGAATGGTTCCTTAATAAAATAACGATCACTAGTTAAATTAATAATTTTTAAGGTTCGGTTTTGCAAAATTTTCCAGGATGGCCGGTTCTTTTGCCGGTCAGTGTATAATTCACAAAATTAAATTTTGTGAATTATAATATAAATTCTGAAGAAGCTGTATTTGAAGTTCTGTCTAAATCAGTTTAGACCATTTTTACTTCCCGAGCGTAAGCAAAGGAAGTATTGTAATCGAGTCCGTCGGCCGACTCTCTACTTTTACGTTTTCTCGATCTTTCATGACCCCTAGAAGACGAAGAAATAGGTCTCCCATTTCCGTCTGTCTGTCCGTCTGTCCGTCTGTCCGTCTGTCCGTCTGTCCGTCTGTCCGTCTGTTGTCACGGATTTTTATTAGACAGATAATCTCCGAAAGTACTCGACCGATTGTTGTGAAATTTTGTACTTATATTAAGAATATCATGTAGATGGTAAAACGCTAACCAAAATTTGTCGAATCATCCCCACCACTAAAGCGATGACGTCACTTCAAAATTGTACATAGTAAATGGGTTTTCAATTGTATAAAATAACATAGTCCTACACATGTAGTTTACAACTCTGAATCGACTTTTCACCCGAAACGTCCAGATTTTTGGAAAAAAAATCAAAATTATAAAACAACATTTTGAAATTTAATTTTTAATCTGCTAACCAGAATGCTTTGAAATGTTGCAGATGTTTTAAGGCTATAAAGAGCATCATAAATCTTTAGTCAAAAAATATTTGCTTATCCCCTCCAAAAACTTGATGACGTCAGCTCAAAAGTTTGTGGAATAAATCATATCTAAAATGTACAAAATATGATGAGTCTGTACTTGTGAACTATCACTCCATTAATATTTTTTGGATTTGCATATACAGGGTGACTCAAAAAAATTAATGAATGCGTAAATATATTTTATTGATTTAATCAGGAACTACAAAACCGAATGCTCTGAAATCTTGCAGATGTTTTAAGGTCATAAAGAGCATAATAAATGTTTAGTCAAAATATATTTGCTTATCCCCTCCAAAAACTTGATGACGTCAGCTCGAAAGGTTGCCGAATAAATCATATCTAAAATGTACAAAATATGATGAGCCTGTACTTGTCATTTATCACTCCATTCATATTTTTTGGATTTGCATATACAGAGTGACTCAAAAAAATTAATGAATGCGTAAATTTATTTTATTGATTTAATCAGGAACTACAAAACCGAATGCTTTGAAATCTTGCAGATGTTTTAAGGTTATAAAGAGCATAATAAATTTTTAGTCAAAATATATTTGGTTATCTTCTACAAAAAACTGATGACGTCAGCTCAAAAGTTTTCCGAATAAATCGTATCTAAAATGTACAAAATATGATGAGTCTGTACTTGTGATTTATCATTCCATTCATATTTTTGGATTTGCATATGCAGGGTGACTCAAAAAAATTAATGAAGGCGTGAATTTATTTTATCGATTTAATCAGGAATTACAAAACCGAATGCTTTGAAATCTTGGGAATATTTTAAAGTTATTATAAGCATGGTAAACTTTTGTTCAAAATTTGTTCATCCCTCCTAAAAAAATTGATGACGTCACCCTTAAATTTTGCTGAATAAATCCTATCTAAAATGCAAAAAATATGATGAGTTTGTACTTGTGATTTATCATTCCATTCATATTTTTTAGATTTTCTTAAGAGGTGGTTCAAAAAAATTAATGAAGTCAATTTATTTTATTGATTAAATTAAAGGCAACACTTATTATTAGTATTACACCCCAACCAACCCAATTTGGTAGACACAAAATTTGTTAAAGGAAAAACTCGGTTGAAACATAAGGGTAGCACGCTTATTTACATCGACTTTAACATTACAGACCTGCATTTGTTTTATGCGTTCACTTGATTCCGCGAATGTGAAATAGACATGTTTATAATCAACCAATTGTGAATTTCACCGTCAAGAATTAAAATAAAACCCAATGTTTTATATAATAAGCGGAAGTCGAAGCAATAAAACCGACGGTCGTTTTGTTTACAGTTTCTGTGTTTGGCTCTCACGTATGCTGTTACGCCTGTCATCTTAAATTAACAATGTTTATACATACACGATTTTCAGTTGCCTCTGATACGTAAGTATACGTGAGTAAATTGTTTCGTTATTTTATTGATTATTACAAATCAATATTCAAACGACCCAATTCATTTTCCCGAAAATTTGAGAATATAATAATTTTATTCTTAGTATTACACTACATCTATCCCAACTGATATACGTGTCCTTGCAAAAATGTTGATGACGTCATCGCAATTTTTTTTTAAATTCCCACTACAAAAATGTAATGAGAAAAAAAACACAATAGGCATGCAGTCGTCAAGTTTCCGACAGCGAGGGAAGTACTGTCTAAACTCTTTAGACCAATTTTTTTTTGTGTGAATATTCTATGTACAACAGTTAGACAAATGACAGAAATCCCACTACTCAAAGACAAAGGCTGACTTTTTAAGTATATAGTCATCAGCTTTGTTAGTGGAAAATAAATGCAAGGTAGAAACCAAATTTTTTTTTTCAATTTTAACTATATCGGCATGTACTCTATGAAAAGTGCTTTTCAAAATTACATTAAATGTTTCGTAGTAATTGCTGGAATCTTTTAAATTTTAGATTTGAATTTGATAGTAGATAGTCATAAAAGTTTTTTTTTAAGATAATAATAATAATAATAAATAACAATAAGATAACACTATCGTTCTCAGCTTACGAATTTTAACTGCTGTAGTAGCGAATTTTTGTCCGAACAACATTCTTTCCCCCTATCGAAAAATAATGCGCTAATATAATAGAGTTTCCAGCCTTTAGTTTTATGTGTATTTTGAATTGGTAGTTATAATTTTGATTTTTTTTTCTTTCAGCAAACACACTCAACGCCACCATGGACTCAAGTTCCGAAGAAGAAGAAATTAGAAAATTAGAAGAAAATTTAAAGCAAATAAAAGAAAAAAGAAGACAAAGAAAACATTCACAAAAGGTAAATACTTCGCACTCTGAAGAGAATTTATGTTCATCAAAACAAGTATTATAACTTTGGGCTAGCAAAGAACGAACGTTTAGGTATTTTGATTTATTAAAACTTTAAAAAAATTGGTCTAAAGAGTTTAGACAGTACTTCCCTCGCTGTCGGAAACTTGACGACTGCATGCCCATTGTGTTTTTTTTCTCATTACATTTTTGTAGTGGGAATTTAAAAAAAAATTGTGATGACGTCATCAACATTTTTGCAAGGACACGTATATCAGTTGGGATAGATGTAGTGTAATAATAATAATAATAATAATAATAATAATATTTATTTACACCCAACAGACCAAGGTCTACAAGGATAACATATAAACTCATTTTCAAAACATGAACAGTAACTAAGTAGGCAGTGTTGGGGACAGATACTTTTAAAAGTATCTAGATATAGATACAGATATATGGAAGATAAAAGTATCTAGATACAGATTGTTTTCGATTTTTTCGAAATGTATCTAGATACAGATACAGATACTTTTTGAAGCCTTGACGAATAAAATAACTGAAAACATGTTTATGTATTTTTTTATGTATTGTTTAAGGAATTTTTTAAAATTAACATTTCGAACGTATTGCCACCTAAATTATTTCTTCTTGGTGTCAGAATTTGGTTTCCGCTACTAAACACCCGTTCCACAGGTGCAGAAGAAGGGATTGTGGTGTTAAATTTAAAAAATAAACATTTTACTGTAGCATAGTTATTCAAGACTGAAAAATCTTTTCTTTTTTCCTGCAAATAGGCCATCGCTTCGCTGTTTGATGTGTCGCAAATTGTGCAATATTTATTACGTACGCTTAAAAAGATTTTTTTTTTGTTTTTATTCCCATACTACAGTGTCCAAATTGTGTTTGAGTACATCTAATAATTATCTCCAGCATTAAAATTGATATTTCAAAAGGACACGGGAAATGATTATTCTGTGCTGAAGGTCTGTTGTCAGCAACCTGTCATAAATTATTATTCTTCAATATCAGCTTACGATGTTTTTATGACCATGTCCGGTAATCGTATATCCCGGTGCGGCAGGTATATACATTTTAGGAAGAATTGCTGGTTCCGTTTAAGACAAAATAAGTACAATTTCTTAGAAAGGTATTTAACCCCTTATAGGATCAAAGGCTGCCTGGCAGGCCAGAATCACCAGAGTGCAACTTTAAATTTGCAGATTTTTGTTGAAACTCATTTTATTTTAATCTCGTTTCACGATTTCTGAGAATATATCACAATAAATTATTCTACCGAGGGTTGTAAAAATATTAATTTTATTGACCAAGATAATTACACTTAATAAACATAATCGGCACATTCTAGAGCAAAACGGACCTGTCAAGCCCGCCTCGCGTTAGGTCCAACAATGAAAAAGTGAAGAAATGACACATGTGGCAACAGGAAAAGATGCTACATTTGTCTGAAAAATGAAGATATAAAACAGTAACAAATATGCGATTTATGCGAGAGAAATATATGTATTGCACATTCGATTAATCGTTTACAAAACTAATTTGTGCTAATTGAAAAAATTCAACATTATGTAACACGCAGTTATTATTTTTTAAAAATAATAACATACCTTAAACAAATATTTTTACTATTAAAATTACTCTTATTTAATAACACAAATACAACCAGCGGGCCTACCAGACCCGGGTTGCTCAGGTACACAGATAAAGTACATTGCCCCGACAAGGGTAAAACGCAGTGAATAGTGAATTGTGGTTTATGGTTTTTAAAATACCATCTTACGATGGCTTAGATTTATTACCCCTCGGGATTATATTTAAAGATGTATAAGTACTGAAGGCTACCATGTAGGAAATGATGGTATTTAAAATATGAAAATTTCCGTGACAGAACACTATTAGTGGACCTCTTACCTGTATTTTTGTTTATGTGACCAAAATCACCAACATGAAGTATCAAAAATTACTACTAGTATAACTCAACTAATAATTACTGAAAAAAAAGTGAAATAAAAAAATGTATCTGTATCTGCGCCACTAATTTTGTATCTAGATACAGATATTTTGTGTTTAAATTCGATTGTATCTAGATACAGATACTAGATACCCAAAAATGTATCTAGATACTTTATTTAGATACAAGTATCTAGATACTGCCCAACACTGTAAGTAGGTACATAAACGAATAAAAGTATTCTATATCTAATCCAACACTACAACCGTATACATAGAGAACGTGCTTACTGTCCAAGGGCAGCTAAGCACAAACAACGAAAAGAGGTTATCTTGGCAATAAAAATATCGACTTTTGGTGCAATATTATCATAACACCGACACATATTATTTAGAGGTGAGTACTGATGCTGATTAGTTCTACAGGCGGTGATTGAAAAAGTATTAGGGTGACGAGAGTTCAATCGTGGTACGTGGAAATCTATCCTCCTAAGTAAACTACTACACTGGATATATCCGTGTATCAATTTAAACAAGAACATAATGTTGGCAAATATTCTCCTGTTATGAAGTGAATATAACTTAAAGTCTTTCAACAGATTCTCATTTGGATAAGATCTTGGAGGATAATAACCATGTATTACGAAATGTAAATGTTTACAAAATCTACGTTGAATGCGTTCAATTGCATTAATATGAGTCTTATAGTAAGGGTCCCAAACTATTGAACAATATTCCAATTTCGATCTCACATAGGTATAATATAGAACTAACAAAGAGTCAACACTCGTAAATCCTACCGTATTTCTAAAGATAAAACCAAGCATCTTTGTGGCGTGTACACATATATCCTGAATGTGGGGAACAAAAGTTAGGCGGGAATCCATAATGACACCTAGATCTTTTATTTGATTAACCCTTTCTATTTCAGCGCCCTCCAATTCATACTTAAAATGAACGTTGTTAAGTAATCTCGAAAAAGTTATTGCTTTACATTTTTTTACATTAATTTTTAGCTTATTCTGAACACACGCTTTGCTAAAAGTGTTCAAATCCTCCTGCAGGAGTCGACAGTCTTCAACTGAGGAAACATAGTGAGTAATTTTCAAGTCATCGGCATATACATAGATGGGGCATTTAAATTTTGATAACACATCATTAAAATATAACAGGAATAAAGTGGGACCAAGATTGGATCCCTGCGTAACCCCACTGGGAGTCGAATACATCTCAGAACGATAGCCCCGTAACTCGACAAACTGTACTCTATCAACTAAAATAGAAGAAAACAATTGAACTAAATTACCACAAACCCCAAAAGATTGTAACTTGTGTAGTAAAATGCGATGGTTAACAATATCAAATGCTTTGGAAAGATCAGTATAAATCACATCCACCTGCACCATGGATTCTAACCCATTAGATATATATTGAACGAAATCACATAAACTAGTAGTGGTTGATTTATACTGAACGAAACCATGTTGACTAGGACTTAATCGACTAGATATATGACTATGTAAATTTTTAGCTAGTATGGACTCAAACAACTTAGCGAAATTAGAGATTAAAGCTATAGGTCTATAAAATTCAATATTATTTCTAGAGCCTGACTTGTGAACTGGAATAACTTTTGATATTTTCCATCTATTTGGAAAAGTGGCTTGAGTAATAATCAAATTAAATATATAACAAAGAGGTTCACATAAACAAACAATACAATCTTTCACTAAAAATGCTGGAATATTATCAGGACCCATTGTGAAATTTGATTTACACTTTCTTGCTGCTTTGTAAATATCACCGTCATTAATCACAAAATTATGGAGGGTAGGCATATCACAGATGGTATCACCTATTTTTAAGCTATCACAGGCATTATCACTTAAATTCATATTATCACAGTCGGTATCACTAATAAAAACAGAACTAAAGAACTCTGCGAAGCTGTCAACAATTTGCTGGGGCGAGGTTAATTCTTTCTCTCTCAGGGACATAATTCCAGGCACACTTGTACAATTTTTCTTTAAATTAATGTATGTCCATAAATTTCTTGGATTAGTTTTAATATCATTTTCCGCTGTATTAATAAAATTTCTGTAGGCTTTATTCACCTCTGTTCTGATTCGTTTTCTTAATGAATTGACTCTAGCAAGATCTCTGTTGAACCCATTTTTTTTAAACCGTTTCCACAGACGACGTTTTAGTTTTATGTCCTTAACAATTGATGCAGTGTACCATACAGGATATGTTGACAATTTCACTGTGCTTTTCGGAACAGAATAGTCTAACAATGCATCTAGTTCCTGGTGGAAAAGGTCACATGCCTCATTAACATCTTTCATAGATCGAATTTGTGACCAGTCTTTAGTAGCTATTGCATTATATAACTGTACATAATTGCCTTTTCGAAAATTATATTTCATCTTATCATTAGTATCTCCATATTTACCAAATTTCACTTCATGATTAGCCACTGATATATTGACATCTATATCTAAAGATGGATGGTGCTTATCTTCTGGGACTAGTGCGTTATCACAACGTTGAACATTACAAGTAAGATCACTAGACGTTAATACTAAGTCTAATAAATGTAGGTTGGAGTTCATTATCAAATTACACTGCTTCAAATTATTAATATTCAAAAATTCATTTAACGGAATACATGTGCCTGTTAGCCGATCCAGCTCATCTTTTGCAGTAACCATTTTAACATATTGTGGAACATTAAAGTCACCCATAATGAGAGTACATTTCGATAAAGTACATTTAGCCATTAAGTAATCATACACGTCATCGTACTGCTCACATGAAGCTGCCGGAGGTATATACAGATTAATTATATTTAATTTATAATTATTAGGGAGAGACAATTGGACACCGACTAGATCAGCTTCAGGAATAGGAGATATTAGCGACAATTGCTTGGATACATAAGTTGCTCGAACTGCAATTAGAACCCCTCTGCCCCTACCTTTACTATTATTACTGTACACTACATAATTCGAGTTAAAGTATTCACTACTTAAAACGTCA